CATTGACACCTTGCACAAGGAGGGCAAGACACAAAAGGTGATTGCTAAAGAAGCTGGCTGTTCGCAGAGCTCTGTGTCCAAGCACATTAACAGACAGGCGAAGGGACGGAAAAAATGTGGTAGAAAAAAGTGTACAAGCTCTAGGGATAACCGCACCCTGCAGAGAATTGTGACGACAAACCCATTCAAAAATGTGGGGGAGATCCACAAAGAGTGGACTGCAGCTGGAGTCAGCGCTTCAAGAACCACCACGAGGAGACTCATGAAAGACATGGGATTCAGGTGTCGCATTCCGTGTGTCAAGCCACTCTTGAACAAGAAACAGCGCAAGAAGCGTCTCGCCTGGGCCAAGGACAAAAAGGACTGGACTGATGCTGAGTGGTCCAAAGTTATGTTTTCTGATGAAAGCAAGTTCTGCATTTCCTTTGGAAATCAAGGACCCAGAGTCTGGAGGAAGAGCGGAGAAGCACAGAATCCACGTTGCATGAGGTCCAGTGTAAAGTTTCCACCGTCAGTGATGGTGTGGGGTGCCATGTCATCTGCCGGTGTTGGCCCACTCTCTTTCCTGAGGTCCAGGGTCAATGCAGCCGTCTACCAGGAAGTTTTAGAGCACTTCATGCTTCCTGCTGCTGACCAACTTTATGGGGATGCAGACTTCACCTTTCAACAGGACTTGGCACCTGCACACAGTGCCAAAACCACCAGCACCTGGTTCAAGGACCATGGTATCCCTGTCCTTGATTGGCCAGCAAACTCGCCTGACCTTAACCCCATAGAAAATCTATGGGGTATTGTGAAGCGGAGGATGCAATACGCTAGACCCAACAATGCAGAGGAGCTGAAGATGACTATCAGAGCAACCTGGGCTCTCATAACACCTGAGCAGTGCCACAGACTGATCGAGTCCATGCCACGCCGCATTACTGCAGTTATTGAGGCAAAAGGAGCCCCGACTAAGTATTGAGTGCTATACATGCACATTCTTTTCATGTTCATTCTTTTCAGTTGGCCAACATTAGAGAAACAAACATTTTTTCATTGGCCTTTAGAATATTCTAATTTTCTGAGATACCAGATTTGATGTTTTCATTGGTTGTCACCTATAAATATCAAAATTAAACGTAATAAACATCGGAAATACATTGGTCTGTGTGCATTGCATGAATATAATGTACAAGTTTCACGTTTTGAATGGAATTACTGAAATATTTTCAACCTTTTGATGATATTCTAATTTACTGGCCAGCACCTGTATATTCACCTCATGAGTTACCTTTGAACTGCAGTTCTAAAAGATCTACCGACCGCTAAAACAGCGGAGTGCTGCTGCTCGCCGGCCGACTACAACGGGACCGTTTTTGCTGCGGAGTTCGTGCCGGAGCGGAGATGGTGGAATTTTGGGGGTGCGTCACCGGAGGACAAAACAGATGATGCGCCTTGCTCCGCAGCAGCGAAACACATCAGGCACAAATAGACAGAAAACATGAAAGGAAATCAGCCGACATGAACGAGTGTGTTTAATTTGTTTTTGAGGTGGTGACACCTGATTTGGCGGTGCTCAGGACGCCGATGTCTGGAGCGCGTCAACGATCAGAGCTTTGCTTGCGCAAACTGGTTAAGATTAGGATGGGGGTGAGGGGAAGGTAAAATTGCAAGAGGGAAAAGGCCACAGTTTGGTTAAATGTCCGTTTTACCGCCGGTGTCAGTACCGACGCTCTGGCACAGCGCGTCGCCTCCGCCTCCCGACGCAGGGGCTCATCACCTGCTGGAGGACTGCATCTTGTCAGTCATTATCACGTGACAGCGACTAGTCGATGATAGGCATAAAAAGTCACTAGTCGACTAGGCGACTAGTTCATACAACCCCTGGTATCTAATTATGTGGCAGTTTAATCAAATTGCAACAATTCAGTTAAAAATATAATTTAAGAAATTATAATTTTTTTTACTAAAATTCAACAATTGGCTAACTAAACATTTATTATTGCTTTATTAGGGACTTTATGATCTGCCTGTAAATATTTTTATTAAAAAGCTGCTTTTGTAAAGTACCTCGCATAGATTTAATCTGAGAATAACTAAATAATTCATCCTTTTACAAAAGTGTTTCACATATGAGCATAACACGTATTACGTAAAACACCATCTAAAATGTCTGCTCGGCGCCTGCTCGCTGGCACGGTTGGCTGCAATGTTGCCTTTCAGCAAGAAAGCTGCAGGTTCAACTCCCAGCTGCATCCTTTCATCGTGACATTTGCATGATCTCTCCTGTATTTTGTGGTGATGCTTTGTTTAATGAGCCTCTTTTTAATATTTCATCTCATTCAGCACATCTATCTACACTCTCTTTAATAAACCCTCATCTCTCTGGGGCTGATGTGTTATTAAACGCTCTTATGTTGGTCACTTGTGATTATATCTGAGTGGCTTTAGTTATCGAGTACTTCAGAACACAAAGTGTTCTTTTTTATTTCAGTTTTTTATGCGGAACAGATTTATACTTCTCAAACTGCCCATTAAAGATGTCTGCTCAACAGCTGTTTTCTGCTAACTATTCTAAAACTCTTGAGGTGAAGTGGGCGGTGGAGAGTGAGGGACTGACGGCAGGAGAGAGGGAGGTGTGGCTGAGTGGAGGTGAGAGATCCAGAGATAGTTGAAACACGAGGGGAAGAGCGAACAGAAAAAGGAGTCGGTGCAAGGGAGGAGACAAAGGCGTTCCCTCGCGCACAACTTGAGCCGACTGACGGCAAGAAGAGAGGAGCTTTGGACGAGGGAGCGACGGAGGAGAGGGGTGGAGATCAGCAAGGAGGGAGCACGTCTGCATGTGAGTGGCGTCTCTCATTAGAAGGTGCTGTCAGGGGCCACAGAGCGAGGACTGTAGGGACCCCTGCATCCCCCTCCTTCCCCCTTCCACTGGCCCCTGAGATCCAGCCAGGAAAAAAATGATTGATGAGCGATACCAAGATAAACACACGCCACAGCCCCCAAAGGCAGCTCTGCAGAATGATGCATGCAGGGTTATAAATAAACCGTGTGAAAAGCAAATGTAACCGTAAACAACAAAACAATGCAAAACAACCACTGGGTTTTTCTTATTTTGGTTATTGTTACAGAATGCACAATTCAGCCCTTTGATGTGAGTTTTCCGAGCTTTTCCAGTTTCTAGTTTTCCCTGTTTGTGTCTCTCTTGTGTGCATGTTTGGTGTCTGTGCATGAAACCAATAAGCACAGAAATAACAAGGCCCGACAGCTTGGGCAGGTGGCTTTTGGCTTTCATTAGCTCCTAATAGTGTGTGCGTGTGTATTATTGATATAAATATGTTCATACTTTCACATTCCTGGGTTGTTTTTGGAAACAAAACCAGGGCCTCATTGTCTGGATCATACACCTTCAGAGTAAGCATGTCTTGAACATTTTTTCCCTGCATGCATCCCTTCAGAAGCTAAAAAATAAAATAAAAGTCCTCAACCTCCACCACACACTTTGTATCAATCCTAACAATGATAAATGGATTCAGCTATTAGGAAAAAATAAAGGTCAGCTCAATAGCGTCGGCAAACGTTTGCATACTTTACTATTATTGCGTTTTCTTTTTTCATAAATCATCTTCAGTCCACTTACTTTCCTTCCATGCTGCGCTTGTGGTCATCCACGATCCAGCATCGACTATGCCTTCTGCTCAGTAGCGCAAGTTTGGCCATCTTGTTTTTGTGATTGTATGATACCAATAATAAGTTATTTTTAAAACTCCGAAAGATTTTATGTTAATATGAAGCTTGCAGGAAAGCTTTTCCTTTTTGTGTGTCCTAATGAGAATGAATGAAGGCTGCTCCCATTCTGGGTTTGCATCTGTTGGTGAGAAAGGACAGGGGCACTTTATTCCTCTGATGTCTGGGTGGGAACCACAGACGCACAATAGGATGAGTGGAGCCGGGTGTCACGTTTGTTTGATATGAGACGTAACATATAGGGGGAATGCCCTGCGATGGACTGGCTCTCTGTCCAGGGTGTACCCCGCCTGATTGCCCGTTGACCGCTGGAGATAGGCACCAGCCCCCCGCGACCCTACGTGGACAAGCGGGTTCAGAAAATGGCTGGATGGATGGATATAGGGGGAATGAGGCCCAACAAAGGGAGAATGTGTTGTTTTTGTCCATTTCTTGATCATATTTTCAGTGGACCACTCCAAAACAACCTGGACTTTTAAATTAATTCAGGTTAACTGCATTGTTCATAGAGCTGACTTCAGTTTCACCCTCTTCTATTGTTGTAGTTGTTTTTTGGTAAACTCGATGCGTGTGTCTGTGTTGGATGATGGAAATGGGCACTGCAGCATTGCATGTGGCATTAGAATGATGGCACAACGCCATTAAAACACACAGAAACCAAGACGTGCACACCAACTGTGTCTGCTGTGACTGCCTCCTGATGGTTAAGAAAATCAACACATTTGATGCTGCGCTTTGTGTTAATGTCCAATACTGAATGCCACATGTGGCTGTTACAAATCTAAGTGGGAAAGGCAGATTATTATCAAATAGTTACATTACATTATAATGAACCGACTGGCTGTGGTCTGGTGGAGGGAGGACGAAATATGAATGGGCTGTTAGGAATCTTCTCTTCCCCCCAAGGGACTCCCAACACCACAACTCATTTAGACCAGATGAATGAGAGATAATGGAGGGAGCCCACCCCTCTGCACGCTCTTGCCTTACACACCAGTCTTTACGTCGTTGACTCTGAAGAGTGTCACTTTTACTTCTCATAGAGCATGCACTTCTTCAGAATGGGTAAAATATATGGAGAGGTGTGCTTTGCTCATTGTCAAACCGTGTGTGCCCATGCTGAGAAACACCACGAGGAAGTCACTGGTGCGTTTTCTTCCTGCTGCAGACTGGCGGCAGGCTACTTTGTACACGTCCGTGATCCATGCTGCACTTTGCCTATGAAAAAAAGTCTCATCTCTTTTGCTTTTCGTCTGTCTGTCTTGCCTCAGGCCGCAGAATGGGTCGATGATACTGTATAACAGGAAGAAGGTGAAGTACAGAAAAGATGGCTACTGCTGGAAGAAGAGGAAAGATGGGAAGACCACGCGGGAGGATCACATGAAGTTGAAGGTGCAGGGAGTTGAGGTGAGTGAAGAAAAACAAAAGGGGAGTAAACATGGGGCTGGGAGGGAGAACCAGCCTTCGTTTTGACACAGACAAACGGAGGTCTACGCTGAGCTCTCCCCTGGCTGCAACGGAGACAGTCGCACACTGCAGTAGGCACGTGTCTCCAAGGAACCTCACCAAGAAACAATGCAGCACAACAATAGTTTTCCCTGGGAGGCCAGTGGAGTGGAACCGATTGTTTGTACCTTATTAAAGCCGTGGTTGTTGCCTTTGCTCCAGAGAGCCTCCATTAATCTTGCAGGCTGGAAGCAACTCTGTAGAGGCAAGCTTTCCCTCACCTCAGACCAAGTCACTGCCCATACCAGCTGCTGCCATTAAACTTCCAGTTGCATCTTCCCTGACTCACCTGTGGACACGGAGAGGGGGGATGCATTGTTTGATTTTGTTGTTCCTGGTAGTGATACAAGAGGGAACAATAATGGTTTAACTTGTAACAGTTCAAAGTTTGGATTCTGGCGGCTTTGACACACAAGCCCCGAAACCAGAAGAACAGGAGTTGAGGCCGAGTTTTTTCAGAGACGTGAGAGTCGGGGATTTGTGACTCCCGCTCAACACAAAAACGTGCACACATTGTACACAGAAGTGTGCACCTCAGGGAGCAGAGCTGTGCGTCTTTGTCAGACAGTGTGACAAAGACAAAGCTCGGGCATTCTACCATCAGGGGCTCTGCTCTGGTTTGTCTTCGTCTCCTCTACATATTTGTCACTCCAAGAAAACGCCTCTTCCTTCACCCAGCAAGCTCAGTGTCATCTCTGGTCCTGCAGTGCTCTGATAACCTGTTGGGACGACGCACATTCATCCTGTTGGACGATGACAAACACGCTCTGTTTATGACAGCTCTGGTTTCAAATAGAGTTCAGTGGAACAAACCGTGCATTATTATGGTTCAATTAACAGATGGACGAGGACTCCCTGCTTCACTTGTGTTTGTGACTGTAACAGGAGCAAAACGTTTAATACACTTTTTGTCAGATTGGTTTAACTAGTATGTAGACAGATCTTCAACCCTACCCTAGGCAGGGGCGGCGTTAGGCCCGGCTACTTGGGCTGAAGCCCCGGATGTTTCATGAAAAGCCCCGGATCTAAATCGCGGAAGTAACATGCAGTACCAAAGTCCAACAGAGAGGGCGCTGCTGGCAGTAGTTTGTATACAGCCTGCCTGAGCCTCCACCACTGAAGAAGAAGCCCTTCAGCAGCCGGCTTCTTCTGCACTCTCTGCCTGAAACGCATGAGTGAAGATGGACATAAGGACGTTTTTTAGACCAAAAGTACAACGACAGAACCCCAGCTTTGATGAGACTGGTGCTGACTCAGGTTTGTGAGTCTTATTTGAAAATATTTGTTGTGCTGCTGGTTTGCCTAAAGTTAGCTTACTATCAGGTAAAGTTGTTGGAGAAAGAAAGGGAATATTTACTATCATCTCACACTAAACACTAACAGGAACAATACTCTGCCCTGAAAATGCTTGATATGTGGCTTCAGATTAAACATTATGTGGTACAAGACATATATGATGTTGACTAGTGCGTGTCACGTGTGTGTGTGTGCGTGCGCGCGTGCATGTGTGTGTTAAGCCCCGGATCTTCTTCAGTCCTGAATCCGCCCCTGACCCTAGGGCATCAAGTTTCACTAATCAGACTTCTAAATCCCTAAAAAGCACTGATAATCGATCAATTGTAAGTATTGTTGTTGGTGGATTAATGATCAGGATTCTTTGGTGATTCACCTTTAGGGTTGTCACGGTATGAAAATTTAACCTCACGGTTATTGTGACCAAAATTATCACGGTTTTCGGTATTATCGCGGTATTTTTTAAACGGTGTTGCATATGTTCAGAAAGCATTGATAGTCCTGTTCTACACAAACTGAAATAGTTCTGAAAAGGTTTAACAGTGTTTATTAAACCTAAAATAACACAAAGCCTTAGCAAAAGTGCAACTTTTCACAAGTAAAGGAACAAATAGCTTCTTTTTCTGGAACATGTTACAGTAGTCAGTGCAGGTTTAAATTATACAAATCCAAACATTCGAAACATAAACAATATGTAAACAAATCAAAGAAACACCACTTGTTTTCTCATATACTTGTTTTCTTCATTATCAAAATGAAAATCTAAAACTCCAGTCCACACTTGACTTGAGCACTGTACAAGTCAACCTTAAAAAATATGTATTTAAAATAAATATCCACTTTAAACAAATTACTAAAATAACTACTACACTATGTAATCAAATCCAAATGTTCAAGTATAAATGGCATTGAATAAGTAAACAAATCAATGACAAGGAACTAATTGTATATTTCTCTTCATCATCAACAAATAAGATGCTTCATCCAGCAACAGGGTGTCCGTGACACGGTTTAAATGCTGGCAGAGGGCGCTGCGGCTGCAGTATATAGTGACTCGTTGCATTCTCCCTCAACCAAAAGTCCTCGCGTCATGCATTTCAGCTAAAATGCTAATGTTAACTTACCTTGCACTGGCTGTGGAGACGTGGGTGATCGTCACGCAGATGTGCCATGAGATTTGAAGTGTTGCTGCCTTTTGCAGACACTTGTTTCCTGCACGTTCTGCAAACGGGATAGCCGTCTTCTATTAACTGTCCCTCAGCATTTTTCAGAAATCCCAAATATGCCCATACTTCCGATTTAGTCTTCTTTGAGGGCTGATGGATGTCCTGGGCGCTGCCGTCGCCTCCTTCGGCCATTATTTCAGCTTCAAAGTTTTGGTGCCATTGCAAATTAAAAAGTGCGTGTGCGCGCAGCGGGAACTTCAGCTGAAGCGACGGTGGCTGGTAAGGGTCATCGCGCCGAAACCGCGGCCACGGTAAACCCACCGAGATAATATAGTTTTTTAAAAACTGGACGGTTATTTTTATTGTCAACTTTTTTACCGGGGTTTACCGCTATACCGGTTACCGTGACAACCCTATTCACCTTCACTGGCTCTGCTAAGCTGGATGGCTAAGTTCCACTCTGTTCTGATTTATATTGTGTCTGCCATAACACACACCACTGACAGACGATAACTAGACACAGTTTACCTGTTAAGTAGAAGAAGTCAGCCCTGACTGGCCTCTTACTCCTCCTTTCCACGGGAGCCGTCAGCAGCACGTCTTGCTCGCGTGTGCTGCTGCTCGGCCCTTCCCACGAGACGCGAAGCAGCAGGGGAGCAGCTGTCACCGACAGAGCACGAAGTCACGCGACATTAGCAAACTCACGCGTAACTCTGTCAGTGAACACAACAACAATCAGGAGAAAACTACAAAAGAAATCACGTTAATAATTAGCATAAACTCACCATCTTGCCCCAAAACCGCAGATACGTCAATCCATGCGTTATCCTTCTTGGCGTTGTCTTTGTAAAAACAGGATTGGGTACTTCTCCACTTCAGTAATAAACCTTTCGTCGTCCATTATAGAAAAACAAAGGAGACCGCTAGCTAGGTGATAACTTTTTTTTTTAAAGTAAAGCAACCAGAAGGCAGTTCGTTTCTTTATTCTGAAAATCTCGGTAAGCTTTGCTCTGTTTCCGCGTCCGATTTCCTGTCTTTCCTTCCCCAAAAATGTCGAACTTGACCCGTTTCAGAGGCGTAGCGCGTAGAAAATAGACCCGGCGTGTAAGGGCCTCGACATGCTGCTCCTGAGACGCGGCCGACTCGCGCTGCTGTCGGCTCCGGTGGAAAAGGTTCTGTTGACCACAGCAGTTCCTATCAGCAGCTATGACGTGCTGCTGACGGCTCCGTCACGGCTCCGGTGGAAAGGAGGGGTTACAGACAACGTGGCAGTGCCTGTAAACAGGATATCTGGCTTCACTCTTAAACAACACAAACCAGTGGTGCACAATCAAAACCCACATCCGCACACACGGATGCACATTGCTCTGTGGACTTTTGCCGTCTCTGAAACATCTGTGTGTGTTTCTTTTCCCCATTTTCTCATATGGCAAAGACCATAATTTTAACATCACGTCTTAACGCCGCTTTGACGATAAGGACTTTTCTCAGACAGATATGCTGAAGGACAAGAGGGCTTGATTGAAGAATTGTTCCTTGGAGCTCTCGGCTTAAACAGGACGCTTGCAACAACATTCCGCTTGTTTGGCTTTCCTTTCATTCCTGATTAACCTTTGCTGCGCGTGGTTGCCTCCACTCTGAAACCTGATGCTTCAGTGGACGAAACCTTTCAGTGCTGGGTGAAACTTTTAGAGCACAGTAGAAAAAGACCCTTTAGCCCCAGCCTTCAGAGAGATAAGCTACACAGAAGCTGAAAGCTTACACTTGTTGTGTTTTCTTTACACTTAAACAGACTTTCATGAACACATAAAGACACATTCCCAGTAAATGATCATACTCTTTGGATTATTTAATTTTTGCTCTGGAATCTGCTAGGTCTGAGGTGCGTTTACTGTTAAATCCTAACAAATAACAGCTTTTACATGAGCTCAAACCCTTTTTAAAAGGCAACTCAGCAAATCGGTTAAAAAAACTAGATTGCTTGCTGAAATTGTGCAATGTGCCTTTATTGAATAAAGAATTGAAAACAGGGTCAAGGTTATGTCATTAATGAACGCGTCATCACGGCTAATTTATGTTTGGATTGTGACTTTTTATTTTCAAATATGTTGTTTTCTGTCAAAAACTCACACAACATGTTTGATTTTCCTTTAGCTGTAATGACACGGGTCCCATGGTGCAGTGCTCGGCTGTGTTCAGACTTACAACAAAACGATTCAAACTGAAAAAAAGGAGAGACTTAATTAAAAATAACCCTTGAATGGTTTAAAATCGGATTTTTTATAGCCCAGCTGACACTTGGCATTAACACTGAGTCATCGTGATTCATGGACGCACAAGCACAGAGGGCTATTCACTGAACTGCTTTCAGGCTTGTAAAGAAAAGTTTCATCTGGCGGAGCTGAATAATGCTGCGTGTGAGATGTGGAGTTAACACACGAT